TTTGGGATTTTTATTGATAAATCCCATTTAGAAGTGTTTTAACCCAAGAAGTCTATGAAGGAATTTTTTAACCCATTTAGTCTCATGTATGTATAGTTTTATTCCATAAAGTCTTTTTTCTTGATTTACACTATTTTCTTGGACACTTATGCCCTTATATTTAATTTTGATACCTTATAAATATTTTTTGAACAGTTAGCAATTTTATGATGTGAACATTCATATTTTAAAATTCACATTGGTAGGAATGTAAAATTGGCCCGTGGGCGGCTTAAAACCCGCCTGTGAGCCGGGGCGGGCCCGGTCCATTGACAATGTGAATATTCACATTAACATGTTAACATTCACATTAATAGGAGTGTAAAATTGGCCCGCGTCCCGTGGCAGCGCGAAACCCGCCCGCGGCCCATGGGCAGCCCGGGGCGGGCCCGTTGACAATGTGAATATTCACATTGACATGTTAACATTCACATTGATAAGAGTATAAAATTGGCTCGTGGCCCATGAGCGGCCAAAAGCCCGCTCGCGGACCTGGGCAGGCCCGGCTTGACCCGTTGATAATGTGAATATTCACATTGACATGTTAACATTCACATTAATAGGAGTGTAAAATTAGCTCGCGCCTCGTGGCTGCCGAAAACTCGCCCACGGCCTGTAGGCGACCCGGGATGGGCCCGACCCGGCCTGTTGACAATGTGAATATTCACATTGACATGTTAACATTCATATTGATAAGAGTATAAAATTGGCCAGTGGCCCAGGGCGGGCCCGACCCGGCCCATTGACAATGTGAATATTCACATTGACATGTTAACATTCACATTGATAAGAGTGTAAAATTGGCCCACAGCCCGTGGGCGGCCCGAAGCCCGACCGCAGCCCGAGGCGGGCTCGACTCGTGACAATGTGAATATTTACATTGACATGTTAACATTAACATTGATAGGAGTGTAAAATTTGCCCGCTGCCCGAAGCTTGCCCGCGGCCCGGGGTAGGCCCGGCCCGGCCCGTTGACAATGTGAATATTCACATTGACATGTTAAAATGCACATTAATAGGAATGTAGAATTGGCCTGCGGCCCGTGGGCTGCCCGAAGCCCGCCTACGGCCTGGGGCAGGCTCGTTTGGGTCCGAACCCAAGCATGTCCGAGACCCTAGGTTAGGGCTTAGGTCATCACTTTGTAGCCCAGCCCGGTCCATCGGCCCGCTTCAGGCCCATTCAAGGCTCGGTCCGAGACCTAGCCCGCCCGAGACGCAATGTATTTTTTTGTAGAAAATAATAAAATTTTGGTAGAAAATATTAAAAAGAATTAAAAAAAAATGGCCAGGCCCGTCCAAGCCCGACCTAAGCTCGAGGCTAGGCCCAGGCCCACCGGCCCGACCCGAGGCTCGATCCATCGGCCTCTCCAAAGCTCGAATACCCTTGTGCCAAGGCTAGGGCTTGGGCCTAATTTTTTGGCTTGTGGGTCGGCCCGGGAAAGGCTCGTTTGGGCCCAAGCTCGAGCCTAGTCCGAGACCCTAGGCTAGGGCCTGGGCCATCACTTTGAAGCCTGGCCCGGCCCATCGGCCCGGTTAAGGCCCATTAAAGGCTCGGTCCGCGCCGAGGCCTAGTGTCTTTTTTTGTGAAAAATTATAAAATTTTGGTAGAAAAAATTAAAAAGAATTAAAAAAAAATGGCCAGGCCCGCCCGGCCCGCCTACGGACCGTGGGCGGGTTTCGGACAGCCACGTGGTACAGGCTAATTTTACACTCCTATCAATGTGAATGTTAACATGTCAATGTGAATATTCACATTGTCAACGGGCCGGGCCGGGCCGGGTCAGCCCTGGGCCGCTGGGCAGTTTTATACTCTTATCAATGTGAATGTTAACATGTCAATGTGAATATTTACATTGTCAACAAGTTGGGTTAGGCTGGGCCCGCCTCGGGCCGCCCACGGG